ACCACCCATACCCAGAACTTTTCTATCTTGCAAAACTTAAACTCTATACCCATTAAACAACAGCTCCACCATTAACCCCTCCCCCAGCAACCACCATTCTATTTTCTGTCTCCATGAATTGGACCACTCTAGGTACGTCATATCATTGGAATCATACAATATTTGTCTGTTTGTGACCGGCTTATTTCACTTAGTATGATGTCTTCAAGGTTCATCTATGTTGTATTAATAGCATGTGTCAGAGTTTCCTTCCTTTGTAAGGCTGAATAATATTCTGTTGTATGTATATACCACATTTTGTTCATCCATTCATCCCTCGATGGGCACTTGGGTTGCTTCTACCTTTTGGCTATTGTGAATAATCCTAGCAACATGAGTGTACAAATATGGAATGATAATTTTTTAAATGAAAATCCTATTGGAAAGGTTTCCCACTTGGTGGTGGGCAGCTTGAGAATACATACCAAAAGCCTTAACACAATGTGATCAGCTACACATCAAAACATGCTGTGGTGCCTGCACCACTCATAATGATTTCCTTAATCGCCCCCACTGTGGGCACTTGGCAGCTGTGTTTATACCTCATGACACCCCTCCACGCACACTCCCGCACCCCAGCCACAGTAGCTTGGACCAGAGGTGGACATCTGACCTGACTCCAGCAGGGATAGTCTGATGTCCTCTCTTGGGAACTTGAAATTGGACCTAAGAGATTCTGCTTGTGCCTGAACTCATCTCCTGAAGAGAGAAAACATAAATCCAGGTACAGTGGATTGCCTCCCTCTACTCTCCATGTGGACTAAGAAGGGAAACAATCCAATGTGCAGAAAGAGAATGACTGAGACGTGGGGGAAAATCTGCCTTGGTTTCTGATGGCTCTTGAGTTCCTTGTCCTCTGCCTTTATGAAGTCTGGCTCCAAATCCACCCTTGGATTCTTTCTTATTCTGGCCTGAGTTGATAGATGTTATTTGCATCCAAAGATTCCTATTTAATACAATAATCTAGGACCCAGAAATCCTACTTTTGGGAATTGTGCAAAGACATGTACGTAAAGATATGCCTTGACATGTTTTTATATAACAGGAAAATTAGAAATAATCTGAATGTAAGATAATAGGAGATTGGATATATAAATGTTATATATATTTCCAGAGTGAGAGAGATAGGGGAAGATACAGTCTTGAAAAATCATTCATGATGAATACAATTCATTGATATAGAAAAATGTTTATTTTATATTATTCAGTCAAAAAAAAGGTGATTTTTTTAAAACCCAGGTAATAGTATAACCAGAAAATGCAGTGATTATGGTCTCCCACCCTCCTTGTGAGGTTCTTGAGAAGGAGACATATACAAAGAACAAAGGCCAAGGAAGGCATTTTAATATTAGCTGGGTCTGGACCCCAAACTCAAAAGCAGAGCCCTGAGTCTTCTGGTAAGTTTAAATCAACCATGGAAACCCACAATTTTTCCCAAGCTGATTTTGGCTTTAAAAGTTTCAGTTGGCCTGTAATCCTAGCACTTTGGGAGGCCAAGGCAGGAGGAT